AGGCACAGAATGCACTCATTTCATTTATGATCAATCTTATTTATTAATAAGATTTTATATTAAGGCATCTATGGAATCTTAGACGTGATATAAAGTTATTTGATATTTGTTAAGAAATACATATTCAGAAAAAATTTGTCCAGCATAGATATTGAATGGAAAAATAGTCTATGGATGCAGAAACTTAATTTGTGTGGAAGATGTGTGAAAACCTCTACCACCTGCTCAGCAGCTGTTCATTTTTTCTTTCTTTTTTCTGTCTCTTTTGCTATGGAACTAAATGATTGGTTAAATATGGCCCTTGACACAGAGGTTAAAAACATACTTGTTTTCTATCTAATATGAAGTGGATGAGGTGGGGATAAAACAGGAAGTGTTATGGTTCTTTGGGTTATTGACTGCAGATCCTTGCTGAATAGTGCTCTTTTCTTTCATACTTGTCTTAGAAGAGTTATACTTAACTTGATGTTGTGGAAGCATCCATGGTTAAACAAAAGAGTAGGCTATAAAGCTTTAGGAGCTGAGTTGAGACAATTCATAACTTAAACCTGATACTTGGGGTTGGTAACAAACAAAGATACTATTATTTGATGGGATGAGAACCTTAGAAAAAATATTCTTTCCTGTAGTTTCAGAATATTTTCTTCTATATTGTGATGTGCTTTGATGTCTACTAATATCCCCACTTTCTGAACTATTTTTAAGACTAATATAATGTGCTTAGCGTCCATATGTAGCTTAAAAAAACATCATATACGGCTGAATAATTTTTTGAATTGCATCAAAATTTCATCCCTGCAGCAATGGATGGAAACTAATTAAGAAGAGAACCAACCTAGAACTAAGGAAACATTCCTTATAGTTAGAACAATTAATCAGTGAAACAAGTTGTCTCCAGAAGTTGTGGGTGCTCCATCACTGGAGTTTTTAAATAAGAGATTGGACAACCATTTGTCTGAAATGGTCTAGGGTTTCCTGTTTGAGTAGGGAGTTGGATTAGAAGATATCCAAAGTCCCTTCCAACCCTATTATTCATTATTTTAGATTTTTCTGGTTCATTTACTGTAATGTAATATTTAACATTTTATCTATGACATTATTTTCATGGCTATTTGTGATTGGCTGCAAGCAGATAGTTTCTTGGTTAGAACACAATTATTTGCACAAGTTTATGTAGTTATTTTCAATCCCTTGCTTCTGCTTTACTCCTCAATTTGTGCAAGAAACAAAATAAAGTAGGTAACCACAGCTAAGCATAGTTGCCTCCAGAGAAGGATAGCAAAAGACTGCATGTATGGCATGAAATTCACACATATTATAACTTATTTATATTTCCATGTTTTGCTTTTTTATTTTTATAAAAAAAGGAAGCAGGAGTATGGAGTGTGTTCACTGCCTTGAGCTATATATAATAATTGGGATTAAAATGTAATATCCTGCAACAATAGCTTTAACACCATCAAACAAAACATTGGCCTATCCCAGATTTTTGATAGGTGGATAAAAATGTCAAATCCCGTGTAAACCAATCTGGTTGACTGTGCGACCAACCATAATGGTAACTCTGTGACCAACCATAATAATAAGAATTCAAATAGACAAAATGTTGCAATATGGATTTACAATTATTGATAAGAAAGACAAAAAATAGTCTGGATTGTGGACATTATAGTATCTGGAATCAACAAAAGAGAAAGAACTGGAAAAAAATTAGAAAATATAAAAACCTCCAAATAAGAGTATTATGACTCTAGCAAAAGAAAGCAAAGATAATACCAATAGTTATAGGCACCTTGGATGTAATCCCAAAACAACTAGAGCACTACTTTAACACCATTGGTATTGACAAATTCACCAATCAATTGCAAAAGACAGCTTTGCTTGGAACAGTGTGCATCCTGAGACAATACACTTAAACACCATCAAACAACATCTGCCTATCCCAGGTCCTTGGGAAAGACTTGATAGGTGGACAAAAATGCCAGATTTAGTCTAAATTTCTGGCTGTCTCTGATGAATCATAATATCAATAGTAAATATCTGGCTGACTTATGCGATCAGCCATAATAATAATTAATTTGAACAGGCTGTGAGCTTTGTGGGAGAAGTTCTAGTGAATCCCTTATACTTAATACTTTAAGTTTTGAATACTGAAAACACAAGAAAACACAAGAAAAGCATAATTCTGATCCTTGTATATACAAGGCTATTTTAGCATCTAAATATTTTTTCTAAAGGCTTCATGGCTACTCTAACAAAGTGCTAGCCTGCAGCATATTTCTTGATTGCTGGCTCCTTTACCCTTGTTGGTTGGGGTAATAAGGCATAAGCATTCCAACATTTCAGAATCTTCATTGACAATTCTAAGTTTGGTGGTGTTTGTCACTAGTTTGTTCTTTACATTTAATCTCATTTTTTCATTGTGCTTCGCTGTGCTTACACAGTCAGTCTGTCAGTCTGTTTGCTGCCCATCTTGCCGTAATAATACTGTTCATGGTACTACTGCATGATTTGGGAAAGTTAAATGTAATACATAACTCTACATCCCTTTGTGTTTGAACTGTCATAATCTAAAACCAGTTTGATATTCTATTAGAAAATAGTATTTGATAATCCACATACAGTGTAGTATTAGAATACGTTCAAACATATGTATATTCATGTTTGTAATATTTGTACTGCAACCATGTAGAGTAACATAGATTTAAACCAGTTGTTTGTGGCTATAAAATGCCTGAGAAAAGTCTGAAATTAGAAGTGAGTTATTTGCACTGAGATATATTCTAATTGAAGCACTTTCTTGACTATTTGATGACTACTACATTAAATGTCTATAGTTCATACATTAAAACATATTGGTTCTAAAATTGAAATAAACTGTAAACTGTACTATTTTTGTTAAAATTGTTTGCTTTATATATTTTAAATGGTTGTGTCTCATACACTAAAATCCTTTAATGAAGAAACAGCATAAATCCTCAACAAAAACTACTGGGAAAATGTTTTTGGATAGGTACCGTATTTTTGGAGTATAAGATNGATACGTGCCAGCCTTGCTCTGCTAACTCCATAAAATAATAATAATAATTTTATGGTGTGTACATGCCACCTCTCCCTTATCACTTCCTCTCAGCAGCTCTCACTGTGTTCCTCCTCTTCCCAGTGACCTCACATTCTTTTCTCACCTTAACTGCTATTGCTACTGATGTCCTTGACTTTTACCTGCTCCTATCAAAAACACTTCACCTCAGAATAACCATGGCTCTGCTGGTGTCTGGAACAAAACAGTCTAGCTTTGACCCACATTAAGATTAAACATGCAAGTTTTCACTCAGATACACCCCCCCTGAAATAGTTGTCCCATTCATAGAATAGTCTGTAGAAATTCTCAGTCATCCAGGTCATGGTTGTCCCAAAGGTGCTTTTTCAGGAGGCAACTGCACTTTCTTATTTTTTCTTTGAATATGTTTCGCTTCTCATCCAAGTGTCTTCTTCAGCTCTGATAGGATGTGGTGTGGGAGTAGGAATGGTGTGGGAATAAGAATGGATTTCCAGAGAAAAAAATAAATTGCAGACTAAAGGAATCAGAAGCACTCCTCACATGACCCTGAGGACACAGATTGAAGCACCTCCAAGTGCTTCAATGACCCTCTAAAATGATGAAAATGACCAGCTATCTCCATTCCTCACTATCTTGTTAGAGCTGAAGAAGCTTCTTGGATGTCTTCAAAGCAACAAAGTCCAGTTGCCTCCTGAAAAAGCACCTTTGGGACGTTCATAGAATACATTGCACATCCATAGAAAAACTAATGTTCATGGAATCCTGACAGAATGTGTGCTTTACCATAATAAATATTGTCAAAGCACTCTCATTTTCTAAATTTGAGGTACTGTCACCATGAGGATAATTATATTTATGCACTTTTGAAAACCGCTTTATCCTTATTGAGGCAAGCTTCAATGTATCAGATGTTATCAATACATTGCATTTTCAAGCATAGGCAAAATTCTTTCATATTTTAACAATTTTATGTTTTATTTAAAAAAGATACTAGGAAATAATTCATCTTTACATTAAAGTTTTTTTAGAACTTTTTAATCCTTTCCCCTTTTTTCATTTTTTTGGGTGGGCCTTCGAGTCTCTGGTTTTATCAATTTAACTCTAAAAAGTAACTTTCCCCATTTCCGTTAGTTAATTAACTACATGGATCTTCTATTGGACCTTGAATTTCTCCCTTTAGGAGAAATTTAGACAGAATTTCTCCCTTTAGGAGAAATTTAGACAGAATTTCTCCCTTTAGGAGAAATTTGGGGAGAACTACTGAATTATGCTATAAAGCAATGTTTCTCAAGCAACTTTAAGATGGCATAGGGCAGTGATGGCTAACCTTTTTGTAAAGGCGTGCCAAAATTATGTGTGTTCGTGCCCAGACCCACAATAGAATGCGCCCCACCTACCTGCGCATGTGCGCCCCACTCGTGCATGTGAGTGTGACCCTCCTGTGCATGTGCTTGTGACCCCCTCTGTATGTTTGTGGTGGTGGGGGGGGTGTTTTTGCCCTCCCAGGCTACGGAGGCCCTCCGGAAGGCAGAAATGGATCATTTCTGAACTTCCTGTTGGCCCGTTGGCCCCATTTTTCGCCCTCCCCAGGCTCCAGAAGCTTTCCTGAAGCCTGGGGAGGGCGAAAAGGGCCTCCCTGGCCCCCCAGAAGGCCAAAAATCAGTCAGCTGGCACGCATATGGCTACATGTGCCACCTGTGGCACGTGTGCCATAGGTTCGCCATCACAGGCATAGGGAATTCTGGCAGTTGAATGAATTTTACCTATCTTAAAGTTGCTTGCTTGAGAAACACTGCTGTAAATGGAAGGGACCCTTTCATTCAGAAGAGACCATGTCTAGATCTAGACCATTCTTAATTTCTCTGATATTAACTATGACCTTGGGGTAGCTTAGGTTTTCAAAGTATTTCCTCTTTTCTTTTCCTATGTCTACATTTAGAGCTTCTGTGGTAATACCTGAGGAGAAGATGCTTGAGCTATACAATATCCTACAGAGCATACCCCAGCGGCAGATTGAAGAGATGCAGAGACAGGTACAATTAATATTCATTAATGTGCAGAAATAGGGGTAATATAAATCATAGTTTTGCTTTGAGCCTCGTGTGCATATATGTAGGATAACTTTATATGGGATAAATGTTAAAATGTTTTGCATGTTTTTAAATGTTAGCGGTTTCTTCAGAGGAGGTGCACAGCATTCCCTATTGGTAAATTATGCACTATAGGTACACTGAGATTACACAAACATAATATTCTATACTTGTTTTGTAAAATGAAATGAATAATATGAAATGGAAACTGAATTACAATGAATAAAAAAGACATTTGATTACTTGCTTATGGGAGTTCTGAATGATTTTCACATTTTCATTAAAGTTAGGACTCTCAATTAGTGTATTTATATGTTTCATTGATTCATTAAATGTATTTGCTGCCTTTCATCCAGGCATTGAAAATGGCATACATAGCCCTTTCTTCTCTAATTTTATTTTTGGCACATCTATGCAAGTTACCCCATTTGTCCAGGTCAGAGAACATTACAAAATAACATTATAACTTATGACAATACTGTTTGCAATTTGATTATTGTTTAGCTTGATGATGATGATTTTTAAATGGACTTTGTTTCTTGGTTTTCGTACTGACTTACCTGTTTGAACTATGAGCAAAACATATTGGGGATCCAGTTAGTGCTCAGATGACAGACTTCTAAAAATATCAGGGCTGTAGGTTAGTTGAAAAATGTAAAGCTAACATGTAGAAAGAAAATGATAGGAATTCCTTTCCATATTATTGTCAAGAAAACTACATGAATAGACTCATAAAGTCATGAGGAGTTAAACTTTAATTTTAGACCTTGGTCACATTACTTCACTCTGCTCCCCTCCTGAAAATTATTATTATATTTTTATCCTTTAAAAAAAAATAACTCAAAGGAGGCAAACATACCTAATATTTTCTTCACAACAACAAATCTGTTAAGTGTGTTGGGCTGAGAGGGAGTGATTGGCCCAAGGCAGTGGTGGGTTCCGGATCCCATTGCAACCGGTACGGTGCAATGGGCCTGGCAGCCACCACATGAATGTGCGCAGCACATGCATGCGCCCTTGCCTCCTGTGACACTCTGTGACGCCTCTGTGATGCTCCAGCTGCTCGGCGGAGCATCGCGCAGGCATCGTACGCTGCACATGTTTGTGCAGATGGCCCGTTTTCTCCAAATACAGGTAAGAAACGAGGGCGGGCGGGCTCTTCAGAGCACTGTACCAAAACGATACCCGGTGCTCCCGGCAGGCACTGGTACGCCTGTACCGAGGTGTATCACCTGATACCCACCACTGGCCCAAGGTCATCCAGATGACCTTTATGCATAAAGTGGGACTATAACTCCAAATCTTGTGGTTTCTAGGCCAGGGCCTTAACCACTACACCAAACCTGCTCTCCATAACTCAATAATTACGGACTCCTCTGGGAAAGAATGATAGCACAGACACTTAAATAAATGTTGGTCTGTATATTAAACACTTTGAATCTTGTCATGCTTAAGAGTATGAGTATGAGTATGAGTAGTTTATTTATATGCCGCCCTTTTCCCTGGGGGGACTCAGGGCGGCTCACAATTCGGAAGGAAGAGAGAACAAACAAATTAACACATAAGACAGTACATCATTAAAAGCACAACATTCATACAATTCGGGTGGGTTGCGGTCTTTAACCCCAGGCCTGACGGGACAGCCAGGTTTTAAAACCATTTCTGAAAATGCTACTAAGATTTTTGCTGGGCAATTGCCAATACTCAAGACAGACACACACAAACACACAAACATAAAATATTTAAAGAGTTAGCTGAAATAAAAGGAGTGGAGGCAGCTCGTAAAACAAGACTTGCTATCTTATAAGGAAGACAGTTCAATATTTTGGATATTTCATTTCCATAAAAAATAGTCCACGTGTCTTTCTGTTTTACATCCCTCTGTCTGTGTGATGCAATTTTTGGATTGTACGTGTTCACCTACCAGTTTTGAAAATCACAGCCTCTGCGGGGTTGCTAGGACCAGCTTCGTTGCTCGCTACCACCGCCAGGGAATACTCAGCTCCACACTCCA